CGGAGCTGACCGACGTGGTTTGTCCGTTTTCTTGTCGGAGCGAAGCTTTGGGGCAGCCTTAACTGCTGGTGGTGGAGGTTCATCTGGAGGGACCATAGATGCTTCCGTCAATAGTGGAGGGTGAGGGTGGTGAGGTGGGTATGGAGAGCTCTGCAAAGGTGTCGGTGGAGTAGTCGATGTAGGCGATGAAGCCGGAGCAGAATGCCATGTGGGTGGAGCGATGGGTGCCGGAGGAGTAGTGAAAGTCGGTGGAGCGGTGTGCACCAGAGTGGTTTCAGGAGCCAAAGGTGTGGGCATTGTAGGCACGAGTTGTGGGCCTGGTACCGCATGAGGAGTCGAAGTCAATGGGGTAAATGGCAGCGATGTTGTGACTGATGCAGACGGCACGAGCGAAGATGATGAAGACCATGTAGGATGCAATGGCGAAGGATGTCCAAATAAATGTGCGTTCTGCGGTGATTGCGGCCACGTCGAGGATGGATTCGTAGGCTGCGGTGGGGCAGGCCATGACGTTGGAGGAGAAGTCCACGGGTACATTGCTCAAGTAAAAGGAACTACAAAGGAAATTCACACACCAGGATGTACCACAGGATTCAGTTCCTAACCTACAAGTCGTGCGTTGCGCCAATCCAGGCCCGTGTTCCAGTCAGCCACGAGGGCATAAAACGGCTATCAAATTCCAACGAATTAGATGCACAATATGTTTCACCTCACCAAAAACCAAAGAGACCACACCTGCAGGAAAAGGACATGCCTGTTGCCTGTTGTCTTGCATGTCATGTCTCAACGCACACGCTGAAGCTGCAGTGAAAACGGAGGTTTCTGAATGTTCGGTATGGCTTCACTTGAAAGAACGGAGCACTGGGATCCCTTGGACCGCGGGAACAGCGGGACTCTTGAAAAGGCTGACAAACGGAAAGCCAACTGTTGCAATTTACTTAAACGAATTACTAAATTGAAAAGTGTTAATTCGGCAGTCAGGACAGTCATCACTCACCCTAAAAAGGGTTGCCTCAAATGGCTCCATGGCACCATGTCGGAGCCACCATGGAAATCACACTAGACAAGAATGGATCATTATATGATCCGGCAGGAACTGAATCCTGAAACATGCAGATTAGGTACGAAATAACGAAATTAACGAAGCATCCTACGAATAATGGAAGTTCTCCTGAATGGTTTCCATGTCCAAATTCGTCATCAAAAAATATATAGATCGGCGACGTGGTTTTGACAAAATACTCCAAATACATCGGCGACATGGTTTCGGCGAGATAATCCAAAAAATCAAGAATACTGTCGGCGACATGGTTTCGGTGAAAGTACTGAGGGAGGTTCTGATGCAGCTGAACAAATCGAAAATGACCAAATTTGATTCCAGATTGCGACAACAGTGCAGCAAATTGTATAACATTGTTGTTGGGGTTCTAAGCTTGGCCCCTTGCTATGTCCGAAAAAAGCAGGTACGTGACAAAGGCGTCCCTTCGTCATATCACCATGGAAAGGCAGTGTCTTCGTTGGTGGATGACTGCCAGACCATGCATCCACCCCCTGCAAATGTGAGAAGATTAGAACAAAAGAAGTTTTACATCTGTTCAGATGTTACACACACACACACTTTCACACACAGAGGCTTTTACACACAGACGCTTTTACTATGACATAGACGCTTTTACACACAGAGGCTTTTACACACAGACGCTTTTACACACAGACGCTTTTACACACAGACGCTGTTACACACAGAGCCTTTCACACACAGAGACTTTTACACACAGAAGCTTTTACACACACACGCTTTTACACACAGACACTTTTACCCACTTTACACACACACACACTCACACAAGCTTTTCATTTACACACACACACATTTTCACACACAGAGGCTTTTACACACAGACGCTTTTACACACAGACGCTTTTACTCACAGGAGCTTTTACAAACAAACGGTTATACACACAGACGCTTTTACACACAGGCACTTTCACACACAGACGCTTTTAAACACAGACGCTTTTACACACAGACACTTTGACACACAGACACTTTTACCCACAGAAGCTTTTACACACACACACACGCTTTTCTTTTACACACACACACACTTTCACACACAGAGGCTTTTACACACAGAGACTTTTACACACAGACACTTTTACCCACAGACGCTTTTACACACAGACGCTTTTACACACAGAAGCTTTTACACGCAGACTCCTTTACACACAGACGCTTTTACACGCAGAAGCTTTTACACACAGACGCTGTTACACACAGACTCTTTTACACACAGAGGCTTTTACACACAAACACTTTCACACACAGAGGCTTTTACACACAGAAGCTTTTACACACAGACGCTTTGACACACAGAGACTTTTACACGCAGACGCTTTTACACACAGACACTTTTACACACAGACGCTTTTACACACAGAGGCTTTTACACACAGACGCTTTTACACACAGACGCTTTTACACACAGACGCTTTTACACACAAACACTTTTCACTTAGAGAGGCTTTTAGACAGACACTTTTACACACAGACGCTTTTACACACAAACACTTTCACACACAGAGGCTTTTACACACAGAAGCTTTACACACAGACGCTTTTACACACAGAGGGTTTTACACACAGAGGCTTTTACACACAGACGCTTTTACACACAAACACTTTTCACGCACAGAAGCTTTTACATACAGACACTTTTACACACAGAAGCTTTTACACACAAACACTTTCACACACAGAGATTGGGACCGTGAAATCGCAATTTTACGGCAGTTTTTGACCCCCAACGTCCATTTCGCGTGTAAGGGTTGCGATTGACACCTCGAAATCGTAATTTTACCTCAGATTTTGACGTCCAACGTCCATTTCGCGTGTAAGGGTTACGATTGACACCTCAAAATCGCAATTTTACCTCAGTTTTTGACGTCCAACGTCCATTTCTTGCGAAAGGGTTGCGATGGACTAACTAAAATCGCACTTTTACTTCAGTTTTTGACGTCCAACGTCCATTTCGTGTGAAAGGGTTGCGTTTCGTGGCGCTCCGGCGGCACCGCCCCCGCCTTAAGAGAGAGATAGAAAGAAGAGCGAGAGAAGATGTGAAGGTGTGAAGATGTAGATCTGCAGGTGTGAAGGTGTGAAGATGTAGATCTGCAGATGTGAGGGTGTGAAGATGTAGATCTGCAGATGTGAGGGTGTGAAGATGTAGATTCAGCAGATGTGAAGGTGTGAGATGTAGATCAGCAGATGTGAAAGGTGAAGAAGTAGTGTCTGCTGCAGATGTGAGGGTGTGAAGATGTAGATCTGCAGATGTGTGAGGGTGTGAAGATGTAGATCAGCAGATGTGAAGGTGTGAAGATGTAGACCAGCAGATGTGAAGGTGTGAAGATGTAGATCAGCAGATGTGAAGGTGTGTAGATCATCAGATGTGAGGGTGTGAAGATGTAGATCTGCAGATGTGAGGGTGTGAAGATGTAGATCAGCAGATGTGAGGGTGTGACGATGTAGATCAGCAGATGTGAGGGTGTGAAGATGTAGATCAGCAGATGTGAAGGTGTGAAGATGTAGATCAGCAGATGTGAGGGTGTGAAGATGTAGATCAGCAGATGTGAAGGTGTGAAGATGTAGATCAGCAGATGTGAAGGTGTGCAGATGTAGATCAGCAGATGTGAGGGTGTGACGATGTAGATCAGCAGATGTGAGGGTGTGAAGATGTAGATCAGCAGATGTGAAGGTGTGAAGATGTAGATCAGCAGATGTGAGGGTGTGAAGATGTAGATCAGCAGATGTGAAGGTGTGAAGATGTGAAGATGTAGATCAGCAGGTGTGAGGGTGTGAAGATGTAGATCAGCAGATGTGAGGGTGTGAAGATGTAGATCAGCAGATGTGAGGGTGTGAAGATGTAGATCAGCAGATGTGAGGGTGTGAGATGTATTATAACGGCTGCTTTTTTTCGAAGAACCCTTCGCAGGCGCTCTCGGGAAAAATGTCGACTGTTCAAATAACTTGTTTCACAAAAGTGTTCTACGTGACTGCATTCGGGTTCGTGGGCTGCATCTTGTTTAGTGCTGAGAATCTTACCTCTGCAAATGGACATGGTTTAAGTGTGTAAATTTGCAACGACTTTGCATATCCTTTATGGATGTCAATCCCCCAAACCCCAAGGGGGGTTCCCATCTGACGATCTGCCGCCATCCATTCCGGATGGTCTCAACTTCCATTCCACATGATCAAATAGTGAATTATGGTCACCGACAGAATTATGGAAAAAAAAAAACGTTCAACTTAGACAGGCGGCGCCTGCGTCCGATTTTTCCATAATTGCATTTTTCCCTATAAGGGTTCAAAATATCCCGGAAGCTGTCCGAACCTTTTTTTTTCCATAATTCTTGGAGGTGGCCATTATTTCCATAATTGATGTTTCCTGTGAAATCAGGGGGCTAGGGCAGATTGACCGGTTTTTCCATAATTATTTTTTCCATAATTATTTTTTCCATAATTAATGTTTGGGGCTCCACCTGTTGGACATGTCATGGATCCACAATTCAAACCCGTTTTCTTTGGGGTTATGGAAATATGTATGCAAATGCATGTAGTATCAACCCTAATGGCCGGGTTTACATGTACATACCCGTATACATGATATTATGTATATCAATGGCAAGCTTTAGGGGCATATACCAGATCTTTAGACACATATTTTCTATAATTCAATATTCCCCCTTAAAATGCATTCAAATTGCGAACATCACATGATATTATGTATATCAATGACAGGCTTTAGGGGCATATACCAGATCTTTAGACACATATTTTCTATAATTCAATATTCCCCCTTAAAATGCATTCAAATTGCGAATCGATGGACATACAGTCACCGACAGAATTATGGAAAAAAAATAATTATGGAAACATTAATTATGGAAAAAAAAAGGTTCGTAACTTTTCTATCATAGACAGGCGGCGCCTGTAAATTGAAACGGTTTTTTTTTCCATAATTCTGTCGGTGACTGTAAGCGCCGAAGCATGTCAAAAGATCCCGAAACCACCATGACTTGTACTTCAACTGCCCCTTTCATGGCAGCGAGCGAGACCTGCGCATTGAGCCTGGTCTCGGAAGCTCATACCTTGGTGGCAGCGTTCATGCCGACAGGTGATGTGCCGTGAATCCCAACAGGCCATGATGAGGATGGGATCCCAACATGGCTATACTTGAGTTACCTTAAAATTCACACCTATGCGTATTTGTACATAGATGCATGTAATATAGATGTATATCTACATATATATATATACATGTGTGTGTGCATGATACGTACATGCATATAGTATAATATAATACCGAAAAATGTAATACAATTTACTTTAAATAATATAATATAATATAATATGATATAATATAATACAATACAATATAGTGAAATATATTATAATATTGTATATAGTGTATGAAAATAAAATATGATATGATATAAAGTAATATAATATAATATAACATGATATAGTGTAATATAATATAATATATAATTGAATATCGATTCATATAGTATAATATAATACAATGTAATAGTATCTAGTATATAGTTTAATATAATATAATATAATAGTAAAATATAATATAATTCAATATAGTATAATATAATATAATAATATAGTAAAATATACTATAATTTAATATGTAGTATGTAAAATGTAATAAAAAAATATAATATATTATTTAATACAAAATACTAAAACAAAATACAATATAATGTAATATAATGTAGAGTATAATATAATATAGAACAATGTAGAGCATAATATAATATAATGTAATGCATAGTATAGTATTATATGATATAGTATGATATGATATAGTAAAGTATGATTCAATATTATATTACATTATAATATTATAACATAATATTATATTATATTTTGTTATATTATTTACTATAATATGATATCTAATGTATTATAATATGATATGATACAATATACGATAAGATAAGAACATATAATCAAGTATATAATAATATATAATAATATAATATATAATAACATATAATAGCATATAATAATATATACTATTTAAAAATATTGAACAATATATAATAATATGTAATAATATTTTAAGAAAAAATATATAATAGTATACAATAATATATAATAATATATCATAATATATCATAATATAAAATAATATATTATAATAAATCACAATATATCATAATATATAGTAATGATAAAATATATATATATAATGATTTGTAATAATATATAATCATATATAATAATAAATAAAAATATGTAATAGTAAAAAAAAAATATTTAATAATATTTAAAAAATATACAATAATACATAACAATATATGATAATAAATAGTAATATATAATAATATCAAATAATATACAAAACTAAATAATAATATACAATAATATATAATAATATATAATAATACAAAATAATATATAATAATATACAAAAATATAAAAATATATATATAATAATATCAAATAATATACAAAACTAAATAATAATATACAATAATATATAATAATATATAATAATACAAAATAATATATAATAATATACAAAAATATAAAAATATATATATAATAATATCAAATAATATACAAAACTAAATAATAATATACAATAATATATAATAATATATAATAATACAAAATAATATATAATAATATACAAAAATATAAAAATATATATATATAATAATATATAATAATATATAATAATATATAATAATATATAATAATATATAATAATATATAATAATATATAATAATATATAATAATATATAATAATATATAATAATATATAATAATATATATGAATATCATAATAAAACATATTATATGATAATATATAATAATATATAATAACAATATATAACAATATATAATAATATATAATAATATAAAATAATATATAATAATATATAATAATATATAATAATATATAATAATTATTGATGAAATATTGTAATATATAATAATATATAATAATATATAATATTATATAATATTATATAATATCCTTTAATAATATATAATAGTATATGATAATATATAGTAATAATAAATAATATATAATAACAAAAAATATATAATAATATAAAGAAAAATATATATCATAATATATTAATATATCATAATATATCAAAATATATAATAATATATCATAATAAATCATAATAAATGATAATATATAATAATATAATAATATATCATAGTAAATTAATTTTGTATAATAGTATATAATAGTATATCATGATTTAAAAAAATAAATAATAATATATAATAATATATGCTATCTATATAATAATAACATATATATATATATGCTATCTATATTATAATATATATATGCTATCTATATAATAATATAATAATATAATAATATAATAATACAATTTTATAATTCTATAGCAATATAATAATATAATTATATAATTATATAAAAACATAGTAATATAATAATATAATAATACAATAATACAATGATATAATAATATAACAATATAATAATATAATAATATAATAATACAATAATACAATGATATAATAATATAACAATATAATAATATAATAATATAATCATATAGTAATATAATAATATAATCATATAGTAATATAATCATATAATAATAGAATAATAAGAATATAATAATATAATAATATAATAATATAGTAATATAGTAATATAGTAATATAGTAATATAATAATATATTATAATAATATAGAAATATAGTAATATTAGAATATAATAATATAATATATATATATATGCTATCTATAAATATATATATATATAAGTATATACACACGTGTATATGATGTGTACATCTACAGGATAGGTTCTTGCAAACCAACATTTCCACATAGGAAATCCGAGACTTTAATAAGCAGACCGTCAACAAATCACAGATTCTCAGAGCGGATTGCCTCGATCCCAGCACCGTAGCATTTCATACCCCGCACCCGCGCACCATGCCGTGCCACTAGAAAGCGCCGCGCACCAAAAATGTTGGTACAACAGTAACTTCTCAGCCAACGGATCACTGGTGGTTTGGGTTGGTGGTTTGGAATTCTTGGGATACCCCATACTATCTCATTGTTAAAATCCTTTCACAGGGGAATGCTAAATCCCAAACAACCGAGCCCCAAACCACACCAGTGAACCAGTCGCTGAATTTTGAAAGATGGGGGAAAAAACGGAAAGTGGCTACAGTCTACAGATCCTGGCTCCCAATGTTTCTGGCCCCTTTTCAGAAAGGTCAAGCTGGGCCAGAGGGGGAGTAACCATTGCAAGATGCAGAAAAACTTCAATTTACAAATATTCCCATACCATCATGCCTTTCTATTGTGATTTGATCAGATTCTGCATCTTTTTGGGGGGCTACCGGGGCTACCTGTGCCTGGAAATCAGCTTCGCCCCAGATCCGAGGAACTGAATGAAGGTGTTGGAAACAGGAAGTGGCGGCGTTGGAAGCAGGGTTTCTGAGAGCTCCGACATGGTTCGCTTCCATTCCTGTCGGGACAAGAGATCGTTTCCACCAAAGTCCTGCTAGACAAATGTTGATATTTCTTGGTCAAGTTCAAACCTATGCTGACAAACTATGCTGACAACAAGATGTTTATTTCCCCCTCTTGGGCTCTTCTTTGAAATGACGCCCGTCATGTCAGCCAAGAATTTGTTATGTCAGATATTTCAATCATCAGTGTTGTGATAACACAACCTTCTGAAACATCCCCACTGTACCTTTTTAATAACGCAGGAAAAGTCAAACCCAAATGGCACGGTTGTACTAGACAGAAAGATTACAAACACAAAAAAAAAACGAACAGCTTCCAAAAATTGTCATTTTGCCAGATTTGGCTACCAGTTGGTTGATAGGGATTTCCATTTTTGCGGTTGTGTATAGTGAGTCCCAGTTAGTGTAGTGACAACATATATAAGTCTCAAGGATCAACCACCCACCATTACTTCCTTATACGTATAACCCCCCAGTATGCCAACCTGGCAACCGAAGTTTTTCCTTTGAAGAAGCGAATCATCCATCAATCCAACAAAACATCCGAACGGCCTGGAAATCGGCCCAGCATGTTCATCAATTTTCATGTTCATGGTGATGTTTGTCTTGGTGAAAACATTGGTATTTGCAACATGTTTATATCATGGCGATGCCTTTTGGCACCTCATTTCCATTGGTGAAATCATTGTTTTACTGCAGTGGGAATTAAAAAATGCACGTTGAACACCTTCAAAAAGCGTTACCTTTTTGGATGGTTTCAACATGATTTTTTCAAACTCCCACTGTAGTAAAACAATGATTCTTCATAAATCCCAATGGAAATGAGGTGCCAAAAAACATCACCATGATATAAACATGTGGCAAATACCGCAAGTCGCCAGTACAACAGAAGTACAACAAAAGAGTCGAACCTAGCATGAAGCGTGCTTACCGAAGTAAAACAAAAGTGTAAAACGTAGCATGAAGCGTGCTTACCTAAGCACAACAGAAGTGTAGAACATAGCATGAAGCGTGCTTGCCGATGTTCAACTGTAGAACGTAGCATGAAGCCTTACCGAAGTACAACAGAAGTGTCGAACGTAGCATGAAGCGTGCTGACCGAAGTACAACAGAAGTGTCGAACGTAGCATGAAGCGTGCTTACCGAAGTACAACAGAAGTGTAGAACATAGCATGAAGCGTGCTTGCCGATGTTCAACTGTAGAACGTAGCATGAAGCCTTACCGAAGTACAACAGAAGTGTCGAACGTAGCATGAAGCGTGCTGACCGAAGTACAACAGAAGTGTAGACCGTAGCATGAAGCGTGCTTACCGAAGTACAACAGAAGTGTAGACCGTAGCATGAAGCGTGCTTACCGAAGTAAAACAGAAGTGTCGAACGTAGCATGATGTGTGTTTACCGAAGAAGATCGATGAGAACGTAGAAACAGGACGTTATTACACTCCCCAAAAAAATATCACAACGAAAAAAAAAAACGCTTGGCCGGTTTTCGGGCCGTAGGCAAAACATGTATTCTGGGGGAGGATGTTTCCAGCCAGGTTAGACTACTGAAGGGTCTACCCTTTTTGATCGTTCTCTATCTCCTCCTGAAAGTTCATGCTTCGCTACTGGGATCATCCCTTACATGCTGAGTAAGTTGGGTGCAGGGAGTTCTCTCCCAGCGCAGGGTTCTCTCCCAGCTATTAAAATTGTTAGGAAGCCCGATATACTAAGCATTTCAGGTTCATCACAATTTTCGACACGGTCATAACAGGCTATATGCCCGCCAAGTACTCACAATTTTCTCGCTACACAAAAGGGATGTGTGCTCCCAAAATGGGATAATATATCAACCCCATTTTGATCTCAAGAAATTTCTACAGTAATCATGCAAATTTGAAGGGTCCCAAATAAATGACCGAGGAAAATGGCCCATACTGAGGGCTCCCTTCCCAGTCAGGCCAATGGCATGACCGAATGGAATCAAGCCCGGGATCATGCGCAAAAAGTGGCAATATAATACCAAAAACGGACACCTACAATCAGAATCAATTGATGAGTACCCCAAAATTAAATGGTTTCATACTAACAATGGCCAAAATCTGTCGTCCTGTAACTATCGTGTGGTTGAGAAACTGAATATGGATACAACCGTAGCTCAGCTCACCGCTGCTTCCTAACCACCTGATGGTTACTTAACATAGCAATAAATAATGTCCCATGAGGATGATGATTTATGATGATTGTCCATTTTAAAAAATGATTTTCTAGTTCCCTACCTCAAATAGCCAGAATGCTACCATGAAAAATCTGCATCCCACTCGATCGAGCGGCAGTGCTGCGATCACTGAGACTTTGTAATTCGTCCTCCTGGGACAAGCGGTTCGGAAGACAAGCGGAAGGAGGGAAAAAAAATGGTCCTGGTCCAAGGGTGCTCTTATATAACGGGTACGTACGTACGCGTACGTACGTACGTATGTGTATGTATGTGTATGTATGTGTATGTATGTGTATGTATGTGTATGTATGTGTATGTATGTGTATGTATGTGTATGTATGTGTATGTATGTATATGTATGTATATGTATGTATATGTATGTGTATGTATGTGTATGTATGTAGATGTATGTAGATGTATGTAGATGTATGTAGATGTATGTAGATGTATGTAGATGTATGTATATGTATGTATATGTATGTATATGTATGTATATGTATGTATAGGTATGTATATGTATGTATATGTATGTATATGTATGTATATGTATGTATATGTATGTATATGTATGTATATGTATGTATATGTATGTATATGTATGTATATGTATGTATATGTATGTATATGTATGTATATGTATGTATATGTATGTATATGTATGCATATGTATGCATGTATGCATGTATGCATGTATGCATGTATGCATGTATGCATGTATGCATGTATGCATGTATGCATGTATGCATGTATGCATGTATGCATGTATGCATGTATGCATGTGTATGTGTATGTGTATGTGTATGTGTGTGTATGTGTATGTGTATGTGTATGTCTGTCTGTGTATGTATGTGTATGTCTGTCTGTCTGTGTATGTATGTATGGTCATGTCATGTCATGTCATGTCTTGTCATGTCATGTCATGTCATGCAATGCAATGTCATGTAATGTCATGTAATGTCATGTAATGTCATGTCATGTCATGTAATGTAATGTCATGTCATGTCGTGTCATGTCATGTCATGTCCTGTCATGTATGTATGTATACACACATATGATGGGAATATATCATGGGAATATCATGGGACATTACACACTATATCAGGATATATATATATAGTTTAATAATAATGTCATGGAAAAATTATGATACTTTTTGTATGTATTGAATGAAAAACGTATACTGGGTATATCATTGGTATAACATAGGATATAAATCAAGGGATACATTATATATATATATACATACACTGGGAATATCATAAGATATTATATACATATATCAGGATATATGTATATATTATATATAGTGAAAATGTCAGGGAACTATCATTAGGAGTCCAAGAGCGCAGAGAATGTATGGTTTTACACATGTTTTTCAAAGACAAAGAAAAAATAAAACCAGAGCAAACAGAAAAAACAAACCAGAAAACCGGAAAAAAACAAACAAACAAAAAAACTTTGTTTTTTTTGCTTTGTTCGTTCTTTTTTTGCTTTTTTTGGTGATTCTTCCAGTCAGTTTCTTTTTGTGAATCTGTGTTTGGTTATGGTTTTGTTTTTGTTTTTTTCATTTTTTTGCTAAAATCAACTGAACTGTCTCTGTTCCCGTTGGCTTCATAAAATTACCATGGTTAAACAAATGTGTATGAAACGGAAACATACAACGGCAATATCATGGGTATGACATAGGATATAAATCATGGGATATGTGATGGGAATATATGTATACAAAATACAATAATATATGTATCTATATATACATAATGATATATATATATTGTAATTTACAATATTATAATTGGATATATATACAATATACTGGGATATATATATATATATGGAGAGAGAGAGAGGAAAAAAAAGAGAAACAGATATAATCGGAAATGTGTATATCTATATATATACACATACATATATATATACAATATACATATATATATATATATGTATACTCATTACAAAATTGTGGGATGTATCAAGTGATATATCAGGGGAATGTCATGGGATAACGAACAAACCGGAATGAAAGGGTAGCAAAAGCAGCAAGGTATGGGGATATGATATGATATCGTGTGATATCACCAATGGGGATTAATGAGATGTATCAGTTTCAATGGTTACCATACCTTGGGGGAGCAGGACCCAATTCGCAAGTGGTGATCATAACCTATGTTTATAAGTGTGGAATAAGTGGGCCATATCCCACGAATCCGACTGGGCTATATCCGACGAATCTAACCCACTTTGAATGCCTGGGTTGCACATCCAACAATATTCCGAAAGAGGGGACGAGGGGACGGTGGGTCCCCCAGCAGAAAACATATGGCAGTGTGTCAAAACCTTGTACCCCTGGGGAACATCAAAATAGCTGGTAAATGGATGTTCATCCTCCTAAAAATGGTATTAATAGGTATTGATCCATACCCACATCAATTTAGCACCCTTCTCTGTCTCTGCAATTTGTTTTTTTTCCGCTTAAGCAATCCTATGATCTGGAGAATCAATGGGAATTTCAGGATCATGTGGAGATATTCCCTGAAATTTAGGCCTCAAAAATAGGCCGTATATATGGTACCTCCAATCAATCGGTTCCTGAAATGGCCATTGAGAGAATGTCAATTTCACATGTTGGAATGGACCCTACGCAGGTTGGGGTCCCAACTGAGCCTCCATGGTGGTCGATGCGCCGTCGCGACACTCGCCGCGTTCGAAAGAAGACGGGCACTCGCCGAAGCAGCCGGGCCCCTGCAGGTTGACCCTGGTTCAGATTGGGAACTACAGAGGTTTTCGATGGTTTCCATTGTTTTCCTGCTTTCTTTGACCTTCCAAGCGATTCTAAAAGGTAAAAGTCAACTTCTGGTTGGATTGTGGAATACCATCTTCGCAAGGCAGATCACTTTTGGGGAGTTGGCCAACCGTAAATCAATTTGCCAAGTCTGATTTTGGCTTATCTTGTATATCTATCTAATCTATCTGAGCTTATCTTATGTTATCTATTCTATCCAATATATCGAATGTATCCAATCTATCTAATCAAACTATATCATCCATCTGTCTATCTCATCTCATCGAATCTAGTCTAATCTTATCTAATCTAAATCTTATCTAATTGTTTATGTTCCTGTCTATCTTTCTATATTTCTATCTATCTATTTTTCTATCTATCAATAGTTCTATCCATCCATCCATCCATCCATCTATCCATCCATCCATCCATCCATCCATCCATCTATCTTATATTATCTTATCTTGTATTATCCTATCTTATCTTATCTTATCTATCTGTGTGGTCTACTTCTTTATATTTCTGTGATTCATTGTGATTCTATGTACCTATCTACCGTACTTGCCATGCCCGCCACGCCTGTCATACCTACCCCGCCTACCTACCTACCCATCCATCCATCCATGCATCCAATCATCCAACCAATCACTTATCTATCTATATATACATACATACATACATTACATTACATTACATTACATTACATAAAGACAGATACATACATGCATACATGCATACATGCATTGCATTACATTACACTACACTACATTACACTACATTGCACTACACTACACTACATTACATTACACTACATTACACTACATTATATTACACTACATTACACTACTTTACACTATATTACACTACATTACATTACATTACATTTTACGTTACATTACACTACCCTACGTGACATTACATTACATATACAGACCGGACCCATGTATTGTATGTAAATACAAGTATGTACATATACGACATGTATAAAAGTATAAAATCATGAAACTATGGATTCTGGAGTCCCATCGCACCATTGGTGCGTTCAAAACCTCGGTTTTTCCGCTCCCCTTGTTGAATGCCGCTGAGCGACTTGAAGGGGTCCCGGGGTCCACGGCACCTGGGGGTGGCCCTTCCCGCTGCAGAATACCCCATCGCAAGAAGCATCATCATTTGGAATAAATCAATTATCCACAAACCAGTGAAACCAGGATGAGATCATTCTTTAAAAAAAAAAGGAATTTAATCAGAAAGAATTTGGATTTCAAATCAGAGATGGAACACAAAGGTAACCCGGTCATTCTGGAACCGTAAACGGTCAATTTGGAACACAGATAATTTAGTCAATAATCGGTCGGTCATTTTGGAACACTTTCTCCCGATCAATTTGGAACACAGACGCTAGAATGCATCTCTGTGAAGATAAAAACTGCTGCCGTGCATTAGAAACCATGGCAACCAGAGAAACCATGAAAACCTTGAAATTATGAAGCCTTTCGGCAACATAGAAAGTACGCGAAACATGGAAACCTTGAAGAACATAGAAGCAAAAAAAAACTCGAAACCTTAGAAACAATTCAAAACTTAAAAAACACATAGACCTTTAAAACCACTGAAATCTAAAGTAGAAACCATGGAACCCTTTCAAACCATGAGAACCGTCGAAATCATGGAAATCGCAGAAACCATAGAAATCATAGAAACCTTCGGAACCATAGAAATCATGGAAACCTAGGGGGGAGTCCAAACTGACTAGATTCAACGCGTTCCAGATTGACCAAACGCGCGCATTCCAAATTGACCCCGCTCCCAAAATGGCATGATGTGGCTGGGCCCATTCTGCTTGGATGTCGCCGCAGGAAATGCAGAAAGGCCGAGGGGCAAGGACTGGTACCAAGAGAGGCAAGGAGATTCCAAGAGGCTGGACAAATTGAGATGGTACCTGTCCAACGCTGGGAAAATCGATGTGCCCAGAACCCCAAGATAGCCTAAAAAGATGGAAAGTGAATGAAAGTGATAAATCCCACTCAAGTAGTGGCAAAATAGGGTTTCTATCGTGTTGGGGGTCACTTTTACGCTCATCCTTTCCTTTTCCATCAACAAATTGCCTCAAAACGTCGCTGAAACAAGTTCGTTTGGGATCAGTTACCTGAGGTTCCTTCAGACCCCGCCCGAGCCCATCTTGGGCACCTGGTCAAGTGGAGTCTGGGGAGCATTCGCTTTAGCAACTCCTTCCTGGTTCGGGTTTTGAGTCATCCATAGTCCATTGTGATGAAGCTCCTATCAACGGAAATTGAAATCCCAAATGGGCAGCCATCATTATTTTCTAAAGCAATGCAAATACCCAAATACCCACATAGGATCACATAATATCACATAGGTATAGTCTAGTAAAGAAGGTTGATCACAGTGATCAGTGATCAAGCTGCTGCCTGTTGTTGAAGAATTCTCTCTTTCCCCCCCCCCCTCTCCTCTCTCTCTCCTCTCTCTCTCTCGCTCTCTCTCTCTCTCTCGCTCTCGCTCTCTCGCTCTCTCTCTCTCTCTCGCTCTCTCTCCTCTCCCTCTCTCTCTCTCTCGCTCTCTCTCTCTCGCTCTCTCTCTCTCTCTCCTCTCTCTCTCTCTCTCCTGCTCTCTCTCTCTCTCTCCTCTCTCTCTCTCCCTCCCTCTCTCTCTCTCTCCCTCCCTCTCTCTCTCTCTCTCCCCTCTCTCTCTCCCTCCTCTCTCTCTCCTCTCTCTCTCCTCTCTCTCTCTACCTCTCTCTCTCTTTTCCTCGCACTGGAAATGTCAAACAAAAGTGAAGGTGCCGAAAATAAGGAAAACCTGATGGAACTTAAGCATAAATCATATATGAAGCCATATGAAACCCACAAAAATCATTGGGCAACAAGAAAATGATCATGAAATCCACTGAAACAAAGCTTCAAGTCTTTGACATCAAACCATGACCACACCCTGTGGCCTCCATTCGTTTGAATCGATTCATAGCCTGCAAGGCCCGACCCCCAGGGCCCCAGCTCCAATCAAAAATTGGGATTCCAGTGGACCAACAGGTTCTACATGTTTCACCCATGTTTTATCCATGTTTTATCCATCAGTGCCTTACTGAAACCCAAAAAAACACAAAAAAATCACTGGAGAATTCAGAACTGGATCGTCCGAAGTGCGCGAAATGGTAGGGTTCAGCCCCAACCAACAAACTGGTGGTTCTGAAGCCGTGGAGGACGCTAAAATCATCCACTTGATGGGAAAACCAGTGAGTTAGGAGTTCCCCAATTTTCTGAAACACGCCCATATGGTGAACTCAATCTTTTCTGCAAAGTTGATCAGCAGTCCTTATCAGAGTCTAAAAGACGGCTAGCAGCTAGCGGCTAGCTGGATTATCTCAAAATTATACCAACGAGTGTTTTTGTTGAAGGTTGATGCACCAAACGGCTAAGGGCAATTGACTACCCAATACCAATACAGTGAACCTCTAAATCCTCTAAATCGCCAAAAGGGTCCAGTGATCATGAGCTGTCCGGCTCGAGCCCCACTATGTGACTTGGTGTATCAACCCATCTATATCCACGCACCATAAATCCTACGTAGTTATAGAGTACCGGTACTTATTGTGATGACCAATTTACCTACCTGGGGGTTTGTATCTTGGCATATCTTGGCATCACCTCAAATGAGCTGTTCATCCCCCAACGAGGCCACCCGGGCCATTTCTCCGCCACCCGGGCCTCCTCAAAGTCATTTTGCCCCAACATGCATCCCAGCCTCAGCTGCTAGAAATGCTGCTGATTTCTGTCGAAAAACATCCCATGAATGTGGTACCACATTCAGCAGGACCGTCCCGGGTCGCCACAATTTTCATGGCGTACCCCAGCAATCCACTGGCTCCCCGTTGGGTTTTGCAAATGGGCTAGTCACATTTAGTCCACTGAAGCCGCTAAAATAAGGTGTTTTGGAATTTCATGCCATCAGCACCCAAAAAAGTGCCATCTACAGTATAACAGATGCAACCAGCTCGAAACTCACCCTTCGAGGCCTAGGGGCTTCTTGTGCAAGCGCTGTCGCACGCGTCGTTTCAAAGCCCGATTGGGAGCTTCCACCAGGGCGTTCAAAGACTCACTGAGCAACTTCTGCACCGCTTCGGAGGACAGGCTCCTTGAAAATATGATGTCTGTATGTATGAATGTATACGATGTACATGTACATTTCTAGATACATCTACATCTATATCCACATATACCTATACATATACCTATTCATGTGCATATGCATATGCACAAGCAAGTACATGTGCATGTACATGTACATATACATATACACATACATATACATGTACACAGGTATATGCGTATGTACATATGTATATATATATATACACACACGCATACTTAATGTGCATTCATGTGTATGTATGTATGTATGTATGTATGTATGTATGTATGTATGTATGTATGTATATATATATATATATATGTGCACACATTATGTATGTATAATATAATATATACATATATACACGTGTGTGTTATATGTACACATACATACCCATTTATGTATGTATGTCAATGGTTGGGTTAAAGGGACATTTGACAAGAAACCATGTTTTTAACACCGCATAGCCCCAGGTTTAGTGACTCTGCTCATCTAAGGGGCCCAATGTCAACCTTCGGGCGGTAAAGAAAATGACTTTCTGAAGAGTGATCCCCACCAACTGACATTCTATCAGAGATATATTTTGACATTCTAGTTAGTTGGCATCTGTTCTGACATTCTCTCTGGCATGTATTCAGGTCCGTGCGTGCCCAGCCTTGTGTAGTGCTCGAAGCAACTGGCACTTGCCGTGAGATCCGGATCCGTTGGTGCCCACAGTGACGGCAAGCTGGCACAAGGAGGGAGACAGAGGCGTGAGTGAGGGAATGAGGGAGTGAGGAGTTGATAAAATCTAGAGACCCTCACCTGGCAGGTGAGCAAAACGATGATTTGCAACTAGAATGTTACTCCTCAATTCAACATCCCAGGATTAAAAGTCATCCAGGGTTAACATGATATGAGCATATATTGTGCATTTTTCTGTGCATGTATACTGTATATTAATGAAACTGCCATGCAAAATGCTCCGGTAGATTTTGAGGCACTCCATATATGGCTCCAGTGGAGAGCCTAAAAATCTACCAGGACCCGGCCCCAACGGTGAATCCATGGGATTTGGGACATCGCAGCCCCCGCAGCCCCTCCTGTGGCGCATCTTCTTCTCAATCTGGGCCATCGCAGTCAGCACCGAAAGTCGGAGCAGAGTCTTTTTGCATAAACGCTTGATTGAGCAGCGCCGAGCAACGTGAGACCACCAAACGTAGAAGATGTTTAAAGTCATGAAAATCCTCATTAGTCCTCTTTAATCATCATTAATCATCATTAGTCCCATCCCCAACCACATTAGACACCCTAGACCTATCGTCCATAGAAAGATTTCATCCCTGCACCATGGAAAATCGGAAACCGGTGGCTTTTGCAGATGACCTGGATTTCAGATGCACAGCCTCAAAAATGGCCGAAACAAATGGTAATGTTCGAGTTTACTGTGTTTACGAATCATGAAAACCCGGGTGACATTACGCTGGTTCATCTTATTTCTTGGTTTTACCGCTTTATCCCCATGAGTTTGTCAATTTGACGAATAATTTGTTCTTCTACAATGAATGTATTTTCAAATCATCATCTTACCTAGCAAAATTGCCATCAATTGAGGGTGGGCAGTATGCCCCGTTTCAGGCATACCTAGTGCCTCCTCAACCATCCATAGTGTCTGCTTAAATCCTATCATACTCCATCATTTGGTGGTTAAAAGATGTTAAAAGATGTTTAAAAAGATTTAAAAATCAACATTTTGATATATGTGGGTCGGTTCAAAGCCCATTATGTGGTAGTATCGTCAACATCGTCATCCCTAAGGCAATGAATCACCCCGTTTCTACCCCATCAATATCATTAGCTTGGCTTTGTCCCATTGTGTCACCGTAAAGCGGTTGGCTTAGCACTCGCCCATAACTTTGTTGGACAAGTTTCTTGGTATATTTAACCCTGATTCATTGGTTCAATCCCAAGGATTCACGGTAAAATATCCCATCTGGTTGTCCCATTCTATCACCATTTGGAAACTGAATTCGTGGCTCCTTGGCTATTGATGCACAATAGGGAATATGAATACAACCATAGCTTTCATCACAGCTCCCTCCATTCACCACAGGATAGTCAATATAGTTAATTACTTATTTATATCATCGTTCTATCACCATTCTATCACCACAACAATCACCATAATCATCACCATAACACGTCACCAAAAATCACCCTAAGATCAGAAATCGCACGAATCGCTTTTGCTACTTCAACTCCTCGAATCGCCGGGGAAAGAGGTCGGTCCCGGCCCCTGGGGCGTCGACTCTGCCTCTGCCTCCGCTGCCTCCGCCTCCGCCCGGGCCCGTGCCATGGCTGCCACGGCGGCATGCTGCACCGACGCCTCTGGCGCCGCCTCTGGCGCCACCAGGGGCACCTGGGGCGCCACCGCGCTCATGGCGAGGGATGGTAATCTATGGTGGTTTTTGGAGGTTTGGAACGCATCTTTGAGTTGTTTTTGAAAGGTTTTTTGGGGTATCAAATATAGATAAATAATGATAAATAGGGCGTAAATCCTGTATATTTTCCATGAACCCACTTTGGACTGAGCGGCCCTGAAACCCTCTCAAACCATCTGAATTCTGTTGAGTAACTGGACAGTCAGCTATTTATGACACAACCAAGTGACAACTTGCAACAGGAGTGGTGCTGGAAGAATTGTTTTGAGGGAACCAAAACGCGGTGACTGACTCTGAGTGGAATGAATCATGATAACTCCCCATTTAGGGTTTGTCAAATCCTGGTTCTGGTGAATGTCCCTATCTTCTTGCAAAGTCGAATATGTTGGGTCGACGACTATAGCCCACTTGAGCCGCAAAGACGAGCAGCCCCGAGTACACACACGCAAGTGCGTGCACAAACACGTGTGTGTGTGTGTTGTATGTAAAAGCATATATATATTCGAATATGTGTGTGTGATCATATTCACATATGTAATCATATATATATATATATCGGTCACTGTATGTGAAGTCAACTATGAATGTGTATGTATATATATAATTTTTGTCTGATTATACATGTAATATGTTTGTATCATATGTATATAATCGTGTATATATACATAATTATAGAATATATATATATATAATTATATGCATAATCATATATATATATATTATCGTATACATAATTAATCACATATATATATATATATTCATATATATATATAATCATATATATATATAATCGTATAAATATATATATAATCATAAATATAATCATATATATAATCATATAGATATAATCAAATATATAATCATACATATAATCATATATATATAATCATATATATATAATCATATATATATACATATAATCATATGTATATTCATATATATATATACACAATCATATATATAATCATATATATAATCATATGTATATATAAATGTTATAATATGTTATCTATATATATGTTGTGTATATATATATATATGGTGTATATACATATATATATGTTGTATATATATATATGTTGTATATATATATTCATGTATATATATATATACATATGATAGTGAACCTTGCCAGGTTTTACCAATTATAAATTTAGAATGTTCTGACACATAAAACCCGTAGAAAATTGCTGAAAACCATCAAGAATGCCAAAGTGCGCTCCAAAGTGCGCCCCAAAGTGCACCTATCAACCTGCTAAAACCAGACCAGTATAGATACTCATGTTCATGTACATGTGCGTATATACGTATATCTACATATGTACATAATTACATGTGTGTATAATGATAATAATGATTAAATAATGTATGTGTTACCATGTTTATATGTATATATTCATGTAACATGCATAGACAAACGTAAATGTGCATAATCATATGGAACATCTATATACAAACAGTATTCACACTCGTTGTATTGCCGTAGGTCCTTGTACCCGTGTTTTCCAAAACACAAAACTTCCAGAGATTGTCGGGATGTTCATCCATTCGCTGGGGCATCCTGACCGGCACATTGATATCACTACCAGTAAGAATAGTAAGAGAGTAAGAGTCATTTTTCAGAGTGATATCATGATAATGATGATACCAATTTGGGGGGTTCCATAAATGGGGGTACCCCTAAATCATCCATTTTAATAGGATTTTCCTTTATAAACCGTCCATTTTGGGGTACCCCATTTCAGAAAACCCGAATCTAAGAAATATCATGTTCATCATCGTCATCACCACCATCTGCTCATCTCCTGTGCTGGTTGCCGCAACACAACCGTGCCTTTCAGCGGCATTTGCTGGATCTCCCCAGAAAGAGCCTCAGCAATGATTTCCAGCGGTTTTTATAATTCACTGGTTTTTGTAGGTTGTAATCCATAATCATTGGTTCAGGGATGTAATCCATAATCATTACTGTAATCATTAGTATTTCATTAGTTCAGGAATTTCCAGTTCACAATGCTACCAGAATCGTGTGCCATTTCTCGTGTCAAAGTCCTGCCCAGCTGCTGTGGCAAAAAACAGGCCCACAGGGAGCAATAACCTGGGACATGACGGACTCCGAAGCAAGACAAAAAAATCAGTGGGCTGAGAAAACATGCAACCAGTGATGAAATAGATCAATTTTAGAAGTCAAACCATGGCTGGTAAGTGGCTGCATTCAAGCTGGTAAGTGGTTTACAACCCATATTATATATATACCATATGCAACTGGGAACATTCCATATACATAGATTATAATATGTTTATTTGTTACCCACCTTGCTGAGGACTCCCAGTGACTTCGCAACGCTTCCAAGTGAGTCGTCTTCGCAATGAGGTGGAATCCGGCGAAAGGAAAAAAACAATTCAAGTCAACTTGCATAGCACCCCACACCTTCAAGAATCCTAAACATATTCTGCTTGTACTTGTATAGATACATACATGACATTACATACCTGACACTGCATTACATTACACTACATTAGATCATGTAGATTGCATTGCGTTGCATTGCATTGCATTTCATACATGTACATTTATACATTTACATGTACATTACATATACACATTTCCATTTACATATACAAAGTATTACAAAGTATATATGTATACCGCCAGGCCGGAGGTGCCGGAGGGTTTATCATGTCACCAACTCTTTATGGGTTTTTATGTTTTTTTGTTTTTTTTGTGGTTTGTTTGGGGTTTGTTTAGGGTTTATCTAGGGTGTCTTTTAGGTTTTTAGAGTTTTTTACCACAGTTTTAATGAAATTATTCTTTAAAGGTTTACTTAGGGTTTCATGTCAGATTTAGGTTCTAGGGTTTAAGTATTTAGGGTTTTTAGGGTTTTTAGGGTTTTTAGGGTTTTGTGTTTTGGAAACAATCTCCTCAGCCGTGTGTGAATATATATATATATAGTGTATATATATATATAATTGTAACATATATATATACAAAGTATGTACATATACATGTATGTCGTATATACATACATAGTATATATATATACATAGTACATACACATTGTATATATATACATTGCATAGATTGTGTGTATATATATATATTATATACACAGTGTATATATATATATTTATACATATGTATATACATATATATATATACATATATATATATATACATATATATACATATATATACATATATACATATATATATACATATATACATATATATATATATATACATATATATACATATATACATATATATAGTTATACCTATATATATACATATATATATACATATGTATACATATATATAAACAACAATATACATATATATATACATACACACATATATATACATACATATAGTGTGTACATATATACTACTATGTATAATACATTTATATATATATACATAGTGTACATATATATATATGCATAGTATATATAGATATTTGTATACAATATATATATATATACACAGTATGCGTACGAACACATATATATATATACTATGTGTATATATATATATATATACATACATACATACATAGTGTGCAAATACCTATATGCCATACCATGCCAGACCAGACCAGACCCATACCATACTTTACATTGCATTGCATTACATCACTCTACTGTACACTGCATGCATGCATGCATGCATACATACATACATGCATACATAACATAATGTAATAAAACATAACAGAACATAACAAC